GGGAATCTGTCCCCCATGCAAATCATTAATTAAAAATAATAATGGCGTTGAACTCTTATGGGCAGCCGACTTCCTATGCTTGAGGGAGAGGCATGTTAAACTGCTGGGCAGGGCTGCCTATGTTGGCTTGACAATGCTGAGTAAGTCCTGTGGTGAGTGGCTGCTGTTTTTTGCGTCTGAGTCCTGGCTTTATTTGTAAACTCTTGGAATCCGAAAGGAGAACTCTGTTGGAATCCAGCTTCGGTTCTGGCTGTTCACATGTCAGGATCTGAAAGCCACTACAAAGACTAACATGATTACGGAGGATGGAACTTTGGAGTAGATTTGATTTTTAAAAAGCAAAAAGGAAACCTTGAGTTAAGCTGTTCTCTTGAGCTATCCTGAAAGAAACGTTAATTCTCATTAGTTGGCAGATAATTAAAATGTTGGTTTGCAACTAAAGTCTTTTGCACTAAACTCTGGCTAATCAGGAGTCTGTTGGATGGATCTAGAGACGCTTATTTAACTTGTTTGGAAATGGGTGATGGAGGGAACGTGTGAGGATTGCCTGTTGCAATCCCTCCCTCTGGGGCATCTGGTGTTGGCTGCTGTGGGTAGACAGGACGCTGGGCTGGATGGACTGTTGGGCTGCTCTTAGGTTGTGTATCTTAACATAATTGTATTAGAAAATGGCGACTAATGCCTCTTTTATTTCTTAGAATTGGTCTTGATTGAGACCAATTCTATGTGAATAGAAATTAGAATTTTAAATTGTGGGGGTTTTATTAGTTACCTATCCAGCTCATTAGGTCAGTTTAACTGGAAATATTACATATCCAGGGCAAGAGGGAATATTTAACAGATGCATTAGACAAAGGAAGTCTCTGTAGTTAGTAACCTGAACTAATTTGTTTCCAGTCACCATGTGATTCAGGATTTTAGAGCTAGTAAATCTCATACTCTCTCTTTATTCATGGACTGGAAAAAGATAAACATGCTTTCCTGCTCTTTCAAATGGTTTCTCCCACTTTGAATGAATTAGTTATTGAACTGAAACAGTTGAACAAACTGAAATAAAGACAATATTTAGTGGGCTTAGAGCAGTCGTTCTCAACTCGTTTCAGTCTACAGACCATCAGGCCAATCAAAATTTTCATGGACCACCTCTAGCACATGTGACAAACGACACAGCAACCGCTCAGCACGATATCGGCAGCTACACTGACACTCAGCCTCAGATGGAAGTTACTGGCAACACAAGGTTGCGCCCTAGGTGATGCTGTGGATGGCGCGTCACATGCTTGTGAACACAGTGTAGAACAGCCTAACGGCGGTGCCTGCTTATGCTGTGTGACTTTGGACAATGGTCCTGTGAACCACCAAAAAATTCACCATGGACCACCAGTTGAGCACCACGGGCTTAGAGAAAAGAGGCTACTGTTGTCAAAAGAGGGTTTAGCACTTCTACCAACTCTGGTTCCAAGTGCTTAGGCAGCGATTGCTCTTAGTTCCATGCCTCGACTTTCTTGGAAACTCAGCAGCAGACATGTGCTGATTAATACTGTTTATTTAATTTTAATTGATTTTTTTAGTGGATATTTATAGTAAGTTTAGGCTAACTGGTGTTAAAGGCTAATTTCCAATTCAAAATGAAATAGGTTTGTTTTTAAAAAGAAATGTATTGAACTTGAACTTTAAAAATCCAATTTTTATTTTAACTTAAGTTGTAGATGTTTATTCATCCTGTGCTCTTCAGAGGGTTCTCTTGAATCAGCCCATGTAGAGCCAGGTTTATAGTTCTTTACAACGTCAAGCAAAACCTTCCTGCCTTTGACAGCTAGGGTCCTTTGGGGGGAGTGTCGGATCTAGTCTGTCTGCATACCACAGGCCACTACACTCAGCAATTCTAGCATCAAAGGCTTTTTCAGCTGGCCAGCATGCTGAAGTGGCTGAGTTAACCTGTCTCAGGGAGATGCACTCCCTGATCTTCCCAGGGGTGGTGTGATGTGGGACGTGTACAATGTATTACAGTTGCTTTCAGAGCTTGCTGATCATGTAAGTACACTGGTTCTCCGAAAACCCAGCTTGGCAGTGAATTGGGGAGCTGAAAAGAAGGTGATTCAGTGCCCCATTCTTCCCCCTACTGGGTCAGACTAAAGGTCCATCTGTCCCGGGGTGGGCAACCATTTTTGATTGGGGGGGGGTGTCCACTCCAAGAATTTGGAAAGTGGTCAGGGGCCGCACTCTTCCATGATACCAAGGGAGATGTGGGGTGGAGACTGGGCGTGGGAAGGAGAGTGAGGAAAGTGATCGAGGTACAGGGTTGTGCAAGTGTAGGAGAGGGTTGTAACCTGAGATGGGGGGCTGAGGGATCCTGACCTGGAGGAGTGCCGGAGGGGGCCTTGTGTACCCTATCGAGTGGTGTCCCAGTGCGGTGGTCTAATGGATAATTCTACGGTGTTCTCAACGAGCTCCGTGTGACTATGGTTGTTCTTTGTGTTTTCATTTAGTCAGGGAGCGGAAGTTCGTCGTCCTAACACTGAAACGCTCTAACTTTTCGAAGATTTGACTTCGTTGGAATAGGAGTTATGGAACTTCTATGCTTGGGACTGCATAGATTTTTAGACCCTCAATCTAGACTCTCCCAGGAGAGGAAAAAGGTCGTCTCCTACATATAGATGTGAAACCGGTTTGACCTTCTTCCCACCCCCAAAGCAGTGGTATGTGCCCAGGGACAACTGTTTAAGACAAACAACTGAGGTTCTTTCAAAAGCTGCAATAGAAATGTCAGCTTGACAAACTAGCTGCCTTGAATGGCTGTGGGTGGAGAGTTCTGCAGCCTGGCTTTCAGAAGTCGCTATCGTTCTAGTATTGAGTAACATATTCCAGGAATTCCAGCCTGGGAATAGATGCCGTCATCGTGGAATTAGTAGGCAGTTGGGTGCTGTTTATTAGGAGAGCAGAATAATTGTGTAATTTTAATGACAAGCCACCTTAGCTCACTTGGATTTTAATGAAAAGCAAGTTGCAGGAAGTACAAACTGCAGGGCTAGCACATAGGCAGTACAATGGCAAGACTCAATAGTGCCACCTCGCCAGTAGTCGGTGGGGAGACGTAGCCCTGACCAACGGGCACTGCTTTCTGCCTCCCCTGCCCAGGCCCAGTAGGAAGTAGAGCGCATAGCCGGCGTGCACGTCCTGGCTTGCTGCAGTGTCCTGGCCAGAGACGACTCCGAGCAGGGAGCACAGGGTCGGGGCGAGTCAGGGCTTACGTGGACTGGAGCATGTGGGCCCTGCACAAGAGGAAGGAGTTTGCTGGGCCCTGTGTGAGGAAGAGACACTGAACCTTGAATCTTCCAGCCTCAGCTGTTTCTCCCCGCAGGAGAGGAGAGAACAGCGCTGTGCTGCTACCCGTTTCTTTGAGGGGATCTGCCAGCCAGACACCCTGTGCTTGGGCGCGCCGGGAGGTTACAAACGTGTATCTGGCTTCATGCGGAGAGCAACAGACCACGCTTTCCAGCTCTTATCCCATCGCGTTTAAGGCGGGGGGAGGAGCCTTTCTTGGGCCAGGGGCCGCAGACACAGAAAAATCAGTCGGGAGCCATGCACAAATGTGGAGGGGCTGCAGCACCAGTGCGGGCTTCCCATTACTGGGGGGAGCCCTGAGCCCCAAAGGCCCAAGAGGGGCCACATCCCTGGGGTAAAGGGTGCAGGACGCTTGGAAGGAGCAATGGCCCACTCAGCCGGGGAAGCCACCTTCCTTTTGGCAAAATGCTGGGTGCATTGCAACGTCCTGTCGCTCTCAGAACGTGGAGGTGGGGCGTGCGGCGTCTGGGGCTCAGTGCGTGGCAGTGACGTCTCAAGGCTGGGCCGAAGAGGAGCGGGTAGGCGGGTTGGCAGAGATTGAGATCGGGAGGGCGCATCTTCCGGAGGCTGAGTAAGCTGGTTAATGAAACCTGTGGGTTATGGTTTGTGTAACGGCCCTGCTGATCCAGCAGACGAGAGCACGAAGGGTGAACACTCTGCATCTGTGAACCGTGGCAGCTGTGAGAAATCCACAGCCTGGATTCTGGGCGACAATTAAAAAGCAAGTAAACTCTAGTTGTGATTCCCGCTGGGTCGTCCCCCCGCTCGGTTTGAGATTCTAACCCAACACTAGTAACCCGGGGACCGTTGTTTGTACTTCAAGAGCCGGGGGCAGGGAGCCCAAGCAAGCAACGAGGAATCTGCCCATGTTCCCCGGCAGCCGTATGGCCTGATATGCTGGATTTATGGAGCGCTGAGGTCGCGTCTCACCTGCCCACTCTTGCTCCATCCCGCTTCCTTCTGACCGGGCTTTTAAGGCTGCACAGCCCCCTGACTGTGCTGTCCTGTCCCTAGCCCAGGGGAGCTTCTGCCAGGCTCCCTGTGTGCCCTGCCCCTGCATGCAGTTCAGAGCAGCTCTCTGGATGGTGGGAGTCTGGGGGAGGGCGAGAGGGGCTTCCCGCGCTATCCCCGCTCCCAGAAAAATCTTGCAGTTCCTGTTGGCCGGGTTGCAGGACCGGCAGTGTGCGTTCAGAGCCGCACATGGCCCCTGTAGCCAGGGCAGGGACCCTGACTGTGAGCTGCTACCTGGGTGTGCCCAGGTAAGTGCCTCCCAGGCAGAGCCTGGCTCTGCCATGCCAGCTCCTCCTTTCCCCTAGCCCTCTGCTCCCCTCCTACATCCCTACCCCATGTAACTCAAGCCCTCCCAGACCCTGCATGTCCTCCTACACCTCTCCTGGCCCATGTCCCAGCCCAGTCCCTTACCCCAAAGTCTCTTGTGCACACACCTCCATCCCAGACCTCGCACCTCCTCCCTCCGTTCTTTTCCTGGGAGAGTGCGGCCTGTTACCATTTTCCAGATCTTTGGTGTGCCCCCGCAATCACAAATTATTATTCAAGCTTGAAGCGGGGCTGCACCTCCTCTGCAAGGAGACCGCGACCGTGTTTTTAGCCAGTGACCACAGAGCTTTTTCTCAGCGGAGCACGTTTATTTTTAGGACGAAAAGCCTAGAAAAACCACGAAAGTTCTACAGGCCAGAAATCCCTCCTCTTCCCCACGCTGGGTCCGACCAGCCAACAGTCCTGCAAGGCTTGGAGCTTTTCCAGGGACAAAGTCCTGCCCACTTGCTGAATCAAAAGGAAGTCCAAAGTCAGTTGAATCTCCTCTTCCGTTCTATCCAAAGCCCTGTCTGTTTACTGGTCTCTGGAGAGGCGGGCTCCCGGATCTGTGCCAGCTCACCCGGGGGGGGGGAGGTGAGTTCCACCTATGGCGCTAACAGCATTGTCTGCAAAATCTGTGGGCTGGGGCATTCTTCCATCCACCGTCTGGCTCAGGGTGAGATCTGACAGGACCACTTTGCGGTGTAGCAGAGCTGCAGTCGGATAGGGAGACTGGAAAAGTGTCGTTTAACACAGCTTACGGAATACAGACCCCGTTTCGGCAGGCACTGCCGTGCGCCGTTCAGACCATTGAAAACCCAAACGTGCCTAGAACCACGTTATCCCAAATGTAACCCTTACTGAAATCTTTGGGGTACAAAGTTGTCTTGTAACCCACAGCCTGAGTGTGCTGACCTCTGCCCAGGCTGGCCCTGGGCCCCAGCCTCTATGAAAGCCTCAGGGCTATGGCAGGCTTCACAGCAGAGCAGTGTCTGCATCCAACAGCAGCTGGAGGGACACAATCTGGAGAGGAAATGGCCACTCGGAGCCCTGGCTTCGTAGCAGAGGTGCAGTTCAGCCTTCCCTTGGGCTGGTAGGTGCAACAAACATGAGAGGGACCAGAGGGAGCGGAGGAAGGGGAGTGTCACGGTCCTAGGAGCGTCCCTTTCTAGAGGCTGGCTGTGCACAGTCATGTGGATGTACGTGCATGACTCTTACGGCCATAAGGGTCCGGTACACTTGACTGACATCACGTGGGACGGTATTTCCTAGGGAGTTTGGGCACCTAACTCTTGTGCTGCTTTCAAACATCGCAACAATGACAGTTTTGGGGGCGTGCTAAACGAGAGGTGCAGGAATTGCTACTAACTATGGAGATTGGTAGAGGGAGACCTCAGACTTCCCAGAATATTTGGGTGGTTATCCCCAACTCTCTAGTACGTTTCCCATGTGCCAACAGATCTTTATAGATGCAAAATGTTAACCAATATGTCTGGAGTATCCTCAGCTAAGTCTTATATTTGAGAGCCCGCAGCGCAGGTAACCGGGTGCCCACGGGGATTTTCAGCACTTACGTGGTGACCCTGTTGCAGGATTTTGAGAAGTACAGAGGTGTTCAGGCCCGGAGAAGTAGGCAGAGCTGCAGCAGGGAGTAGTTCGGCAGTTCTCAGACTACGTTGCTGCACTCCCTTCCCCCTCCTCCCCAGCGCCCCCAAGTACATTTCTGCATGACCCAAAGGGGGTGGCGCTTAAGTCCCGCCGTTGGGATGCGGGTAGAGCTTGGCCTTCAGCTTTGGGTCCCAAAAAATCTAATGCTGGGCCCGGTGATCCCATTAAAATCGAGTCCCACCCCACAGCTTAAGAACCAGTGGCTTAATGAACACAGTTCTAATGAAGTGACCTGTGGGATTATTTCTGGGATCCAAGACTGCCCGCATTGCTGTCTGCCATTGTCCTGTACCCAGGACAGCCAGGGAAAGCAAGAACCCCTCCCCCCACCGGTTTAGACCTGTCTAACTTTCTACATGTAAATGGTCCCACTGACTCTTGTTGAATCGAGGCCGGTGCTGCCAGCTCGACACAAGCCTGCCAGTGCCTCGCTGGTGAGCGCTTGGCGAGCGGTGTTGTGAAACGTGTGTGTATAGAAAAATGTTATCGAGATGAAAGAAACTAGCCGTGCGTCACTCATCCTTGATTCGTCTTCCTGTGTCTTCGGGCACTGGAGGGGTTCCCCCTCGCATTGCTGTAACTCTCCGAGCAACATGCCTGGCCTGAGCAGTCTGCCCTGCTAGCAATAGCTGATAGCCGATCTGCAGGAGGCACGGCTGGGAGAGCCTCTGCCGTGGAGGGCTGACCGTACCACATGGTGCGGCAAGAACCTTTTGTGGCAGGGAGGGCGGGGTGGGTTATTTTTGAGAACACCACACCCAGGTAATGTATGCTGGCGACGTCACTAGCTCAGATTTAAAGGCAGGAATAAATTCCCAGACTGAAAGCAGAATCTGAGATTATCCTTTTGACTTGCCTGACGATTGTGGCGGATTTGAGTAACACTGTCAATCGCTTTTAACCACAGGTTGTCCCATGTCACAGCTTCAGGACTGTTGGGAGTTCTACCAGGACGGTGCGGCTCATGTTCTGGATGCCGGTAAGGAATTGCTTGTTTCTGCAGTACGTCCAGAAGGAGGGAGATCTTTGTGGGTTTCTGAAATAGCTTGGACTCAACCCTGTAATTCTTGGCTGGGGGTTCTGTAGGGCCCTAAGGGAGTAGAGCACACCGGTCGCAATGAATTTCAAGGGATTGAGGTTCCACAAATCAATTAACTCCATGACGTTCCAAGATGCCCTTAAATGCGCTTTCTTTATATGTATGTTACTGTGGAAAACGTCCACTGTTCAGGGGTAAAGCTTTGAAGAGAGCCTGACATGCCTTGTGCATCCCAGTCCAGCTTCCAAAGGTGAAATTGGACATGCCTGCGCTTAAAATACTGACATGGAAGGGCTAAAGCACTTCAACATAGACACTCACTGCAGCCACAGGAGGGCTCGTCCCAGCGGTGTGGCTAATCCGTCAGCGGTGGCTAGGTCCACAGGATTCCTCTGTTGACTCAGTGGTATCTGCAGTGGGGCTGAGATTGGTCTAGTAACGCAGCCAGCAGGTAGGGGTGGGCAGGCGAGTTCTGTGACCTGTGATGTGCAGGTCAGACTAGGTCTGAGTCCATGAGCCGTAATAGTTCCACCGACCAGAGAACCCCTCCTAGCGCACAGGGAATGACTTCACTGCAGTACTACAGCAGTGCAGCCGCGGGGTTTTCCTCCCTTAGTGTAAGACGCCCAGAATTTCAATGGGGCTGTAGGCTTTTGAGTGCCTAAGTCACTTGGGCTAGATTTTTACCTAGGGGTGTTGAGCATACGTCTGAAAATCCGCTACCTGCCTGAACTCCCTTTTAGGAATCTGGTCGCCCAGGACTATTGAAAATCTTACCCAAGAGCTTGCTTTTCTGTGCCCCATTTTCAAGCTGCAACTTCCCAGTCACCTTGTGGATTAGCTCTCTCTTAGCAGGAAACGTTTCTTTTAAAACGGGTTTAAATCAAAATTTACAAATGGCTGAGTTTAAATTAAAAAAAAAAAGCAAAGGCCCGTACCACTGTACAGCGTGCCTTTTTGCTCAGGTGATTATTGAATCTGGGGTCTTGGTGGTTGAATGATCACTGCCTGAAGAGAGCGTTGTACAGGACAATTGCCGTCCTTCAAAAGGCGACGTAGATATTTTGATCACTTGAAAGGAATCCTGTTATTCCTCACGGTAGTGGTTGGCAGCTAATGAGCCTGGCGAGGCCAGTGCAAGGAGGTAGGTCGATTAGGCATCTTGTGCTCTGTTGAATATAGACTTTCTATTCCAGTAGTTAGTTTATAAAAAGAAGACTTTGTCTCTGGTTCTCCTGTACGTCAGGGCAGATCTACACTGTTCTTGGAGCCCCATGACGCTGTCATAGCCTCATAAGGCTGCCTTGCTGCAGCGGAGAATCAGATGTGCCAAGTCCCTCCTGGCTGCTAAAGTAACATGAGTTACTGTACTGCAGTAAGTAGCATTCAATGCTATTTACAGGGAAAGTCCATCTTTGCTGGAGCACAAGAATATTACTGCTGCATGTTGCTTTTGTCTGGGCTGGGGCATTCTTTGAGTTTGCCTAGAACGTTTAAAGACTCAATGTACTTCATCCGATGTTAGGAATGATACCTTCATCATGTGCTGGTTAGAGGGCCTAGTGCCATGCCCATATTGCACATGTTGTCTGATAAGCCACACGCTGCAGTAGCACAGGTAACAAACACTTTCTGCTTCTGCTTGGGGATTTTAAATGTGTCGGTGGCTTTAAACTAAGCTGCTCAATCCCTCTGTGATAGTTAATAGCAGCATTTTACAGATGGGGAAACTGGCATAGAGGGGCTGAGACTTCCGATATTGGGGAGTGGGGGATGAGACCCAATACCCCCTATCAGCAGTGCCTCTGGGGATGTCACCTCAAAACATGAGCTAGCTTTGCTCCCTCGCTAGGTACTTGAATACGTACCCGGATTCTCCCCTTCCAGCCAAATGCTGTCTGCTCCCCTGGAAAACAGTGGAGGCTTCTGGGTGCTGAGCATGTCTGAAAATCTGGTGCAAGGTGGGAATTAACATTTGCAAAGCAACAGTACCACTTGCCCGCTATGGCTCTTGAGGCTCAAAGGGAAGCCTCAGTGGAGTACCTTGCTGACGTGCATGTCCTGGGTGAAGCTGGGGCAGGAGAGAGCAAAAGACTCCAATGTGGGTCTTTCTCCCGAGTCCACGGACTGGTGCCACGGCTCGGGAGTGCCCAAAGGTTAATTTCACAATCAAGAAGCAGCTCGAAAGCACATCTGGGCCACTGAGGAGCAGTGCCCTTGGGTAGCCGGTGCTCTCTGGTAAAACGTCGGACCCTAGCAGAGCAGTTCTGCTGCGTGCATGCGAGTTCAGTTGCATCGAGTGTGTCTCTCCCCTCCCGATGAGCCTGGGGACGGTTACTCAGCAAGGCCTGGCCCCCCTGCCAACTTCACACTTTCAGCCATTTTCGAGTTACTGAATTTCATAAAAAGGCCCTTGTGTTGCTGAAGTGGAAACTTGAGATGCAGCTCTGAGCCAGCTGTGGTGCCCACCAGCGAGGGGGGAGAGGGAACTGTCCCGGGGCCTGGGGATTCAGAAGGGCCCCGATTTCCTGGCCCACTTCTGCTACTGCAGCAGTAGCAGAGCTGGAGCCTGGGCCCTTTCAATGGCTGGAGCCCTGTGCTGCACGCTCTGGGCAGCGCTGAGGG